CACACTCCGCTCACCGTTCTTATCGAAAGTCCCCGGGTATCCACAGACACGTTCACAGCTCGAAAACGTTGATTCGTTGGCGTCGTGCACTCTCTGAGGTGATAGTGAACTCCCTGAGAGTGGTACAATGTTCTCAATCTGAGCCCGGGTTTGTCGCGAGATTCTGTCGAGGATGCGGGTCCGAGAGTCAGGCGAGAGGTCTCAGATAGGGAGCCGGGCGGACGAGTGCGTGACCTGTTGCGGACATGACCGTGACCCTGATAGCACGGTCACTCAGATCACGGTCGCCACGCTTCTGTGAACCGCACGATCGTGTGCGGGTTGCGCGGTCGCATTATCAAAAGGCCACACACGACGAGAGAGTACATAGCGACAGTCTCCCGACGGTGTGGAAAGAATATATTTAATACATAAGCTAGTTTAGTAGTTGTGTGTACAGATGATGAGCATGAGATTTCTTTGTTTGATCGGAGGAGTGTTTGGTGAGGAGATCAGCCAGCGTGGTGGTGAGACTGGACTGGGTCTTCCTCAGGTGTTGCCTGATTTGAAGCCCGTGGATGATGCTCAGAGGTGGGCTGATAGAACGAACACGAGTGCTTTGACCAAGGACGTGAAGCCAAGCGTTGTGTACGGAGAAAGGTACTTCCAGACCCGTCAGGCGGAGGTGTGCAACTTCCCTCTGGAGATTGTTATATTGCAGGATCTTACTGACTCCTTCTCTGACAACATTGAGCAGATGAAGAACGTACAACTCCACCAGATGATAGACGGGCTATCTGAGAGTCATCCCGGCAGCAAGTTCAGCATGGTTAGCTTTCAGGACAAGGCCATCTACCCGCTGGGCAACCGAGACGACGCTTGCTGGACGTTCTATAGCGACTTCTCCACTGACGCCCAGCCGATATACGACGCTTACGCCCAGGCCATCTCTTACGGCGGCGCGGACGCCCCTGAAAACCACTTCGGCGCAATTCTCGCGGCCATGGAGTCTAGCAACATCGGCTGGTCCCCTCTGGGTTCGGAGTACACCAGACTTATTGTTGTTGTCACTGACGCTGCGCCCCACCATGCTGACGATGGTCTAAACCCCGATCCGGCGACCCTCACACCCTGGAAAGGCGAGTACTCCGACGATCAGGCGACAGACCTCTGCCTCAAGACCTACTACCCCTCCGCTCAGCAAATGTACGACCAAATCGTAGCAAGACATACCTACATTGCGGCACTCGTTTTTGACGCCGACTGGGAGAACGGCTGGGCCGCAACCGGCTGGAAGACCTTCAACAGATTCCTCGTCCAACCCGAAGGCATGGTCGAACCCGACGCTGAAGACTCCTCTGGCTTCTGGAGCCAACTGTCGAAGATCATTGACGTGATGGAGGCAGTTGAGTGCCCTGAGCCTACCACACCTGCGCCTACCACACCTGCGCCTACCACCGCGCCTGCTCCTGTAACTACTCCGGCACCTACCACCCCGCCTGCTCCTGTAACTACTCCGGCGACTACTACCCCTCCCGTTACACCTGCCCCTATCACACCCGGCGAGTGTCCCCCGGTGATGGAGGTTACAGATGCAGCTTGTGTCCCCGCTCCCGAGAATTGTTACTGTCAGCCAGAGGTGCTGATCCAGTTGTTGGATAAACCTGACACGTTGAACTTGGTTGCCGACGAGAAGACAATTGTCAGTTTTTAAAGCAGAAATGTATAGACCGATTTAGCACGAAAGAACACAACTTTAATGGTAACGACTTCAGTGGTCACGACTTTAGCTGGTGGTTTAATTTTGAAGTTGTGGGTCACATTTGGCAGGCCTCCAAACCGAGTGAGTCTCCACACCCGACTTGGCCGACGCGCTCCTCCGCCCCAGAGACGCCAGTAGCAGGTTCGTCTTCCTACGCGTCACTTCACACTCCGCTCACCGTTCTTATCGAAAGTCCCCGGGTATCCACAGACACGTTCACAGCTCGAAAACGTTGATTCGTTGGCGTCGTGCACTCTCTGAGGTGATAGTGAACTCCCTGAGAGTGGTACAATGTTCTCAATCTGAGCCCGGGTTTGTCGCGAGATTCTGTCGAGGATGCGGGTCCGAGAGTCAGGCGAGAGGT